GTGAGAGAGGGAGGGGGGAAAATGAGGAGCTGATACCAAGGGCTCAAGTAGAAAGAAAGTGTTTTGAAGATGATGATGGTAAGAAATGTACAAATGTGCTTGACACAATGAATGGATATATGGATTGTGCTGAGTTGTACGAGCCTCCAATAAAATGATTTTTTTAAGGTGCTGAAAAGAGATAAAGACCTCACTCCTAAACTGACAACCAACAGAGAAAGGAAGTATTACTGTAGAGCTACTGACCTGAACATAGACTTCTACCCTTCTAAAATGCGAGAGGATAAATCCACGTATGGTATTTCCAGTATAGCAACACTAGATAACTTGGACAAGGGTATATTTTCATGTTATTTTTTGTAAGAGAGGCTAGCTTTTGCAAAGGACAAGCCACATCCAGTATCTTCCTGTGTAGTCAGGGAAAGCAGAAGTTCTAGGTCTATAAAAGATATTCTGGAAAATTCCAATTGTGGACATGTGTAAATTTCATTCCCAGAAATATTGATATGAAAATTTTAAGACAGCCCAGGAATGTATATTCTTTGGTAAGTTCTTGCTGAAGAGTCTCTATCTACACCATGACTGGAGCATGAGAAACCTCAGAATATCTTTAGTGAGGGGAACACAATCAGATTCCAGTTTTAGCCCTGTGGTGATAAAGTGAAGAATCAGGAGACAGGGAGGAAACCGGAGGCCTGGGGACCAAGGAGTATTGCCTGACCATCTATGATGCTCAAAAGAATGGGGGAAATGTTAAAGGCATTTAAGGAACAGTACTAATAGATCCGAGTATCAGATTAAACTGAAAATGCAGAGAAAAGGACTTGGGAGGGGCTCCAGCTTCAAGGTTTGCACAAGTGGGCCAAGAGGTCATACCAGAAGGCAGAGGATACCCCCTGCCAGTGTCCTCACCGGGGCCCTGGGGTGAAGGTAGCCTCTTTTGCTCAATAGAATCTTCTACCTCATTTATCTCTCAGTTTTGCTCCCCTGCCACTTCTGCACCACTACCAGTGTAGCCTGCGTCTTGATTTCCCAGACAACCTGGTAGGTATTAGCTGTTGGCTGAGGTATGGCCCCATGCTAAGACATATGGATTAGCAGCCAGCTGCAGAGGCTAAGGGGTCACAAAGGCTGTAAAGAGGCAACTACATGTCTCTCACGTGTCTACACTCTCAGGTTTACAGGAACTGCCCTCTCTGTGTGTGAAGGTGCCTACTTCGTGGCTCAGCTGCTGGCCATTTGTTTCCAGTAAGTACCCCTTAAGTAGGATCTCCCCGATCACCCACCCCTCAGCTTCAGGCATACTGAGTGAGACCCTGACCCATGGAATCTCCTGTTCTGAAACTAGTGTCACCTTCCTGAGGGTCCATGCATCACTAGCCCAGAGGTTTGCTGTCAGAGTAACTTAGGTTCACCTATGCTCTGTCCCTACTTCCAACCAGGGAGGGAACTTACATCTTCCTTCAGGCCCTGCTTCCATTCACAATCCCTGATCTAACCCCAGTCCACCCCACCCCCCGCCCCACCCCACCCCAAAAAACAGCCAGTCTATGAGCCTAAGTCCAAACCATCTACAAACCTGGAAAAGAGTCCATAGAGGTTGTGATTGAGGAGAAGAGAGCTGAGTTCCAGTGCATTCTGACACCTGCTAGTGCCACAGAGGGTCAGGGACTACAGTCTCATCCTCCTTTTAAGGGCAGGAGTACCCACCATCATAAGGTGACCATGGAGTCACCAATCATGCTATATGACAGCTCAATAATAGTCTCGCATCAGTCCTACCAAGGGCTCTGGAAACCTATACAGAGAGTCACCAGGTAGTCAGGGAGAGAGCCAGGCCTCAAACCCAGCTGTCCTTGCACCTTGAAAGGTCACTGACTGCCTTCTAGGCTCACCAAAGCTTGAGACAAAAGTCTTCTCTGCTACCTGTATGCTACTACCAAGTAATCTCTGTGGCTTTCTAGGGCCTGGGATGTGAGGAATTCTGCCTCTAAAGTGGACCTTTGACCTACTAGGGACATCCCGCTCTCTAGCCTAGAATTTGGCTAGCAAGAATAAGACCTGGCAGGAGACACTCTGGCTTCACATTAGCCGCTAACCTATAAAGTTTGCATAGTCTGGATGCAGCTGGACAAATTGGAGGTGTCCCCTTGAAGCCAGATCAGAGGAGATGAAGATGAGACAGGCATTTTCCTTCTTTGAAACCTGAAGGCCCACTCTGAAACCTATGTCCTATCAGGCCTCTGTGCAAGTTAGAAAGATGTGGTCCCGGGCATGAGGCAAGACTGGTCTCAGCTCCCTAAAAACCCACATAATGAAACCCCTTGTGTAGGGTGCCATCTACATACCCTCCCAGCAGATGATACTGTATTTCACACCATCTGGAGCCACTTCTGGCTCAAGAGCGAGCCTTGAGTCCATTCTCTGTTCCACTGTCTCAACAGAAAGGGTAAGAGAAGGTTCCATTTCCTTCTTTCTGGACCAGAAGTGCAGATCTACGTAAACTTTCAGGAAGGTTGTGGATCCACCAAAGGGACTTAGGTAACCCCCCAGCTATGGTACCCACAGTGAGTCCCTCTGGGCCTCCCAGGACTCCAGGCCCTGGGGCCGCCACAGTGTGCACTATCACAGAAGAGCTCAGCCTCAGCTGCTTAGGGCCTCCAGGGAGAGTTGGAGCAGATCTTGGAGTAAAAATAATCTCTGTTATTTCAAGGGCTTGCTGGGAATGCTTACCTCTTGCTAATATTGTGACTCCCTCCCTTAGGTGTCAGCCAGGTTCTCTGGCTTACTGGGCAAGAAAAAAGGCCAACTGGCTGGGCTGCTTCCAAAAATTTCTAGCCTATCTGCTATTATCCGTGGCCTGCTTTCTCCATCCAGTTCTCATCTGGCATGTGACAATTCCAGGTATGGGCATTCGGAATTTGTGACCTCTGAGTAGAAAGAACCAGCCTTCTTTTCTGGTCCCCTTCAGGGTAACAGATCTGCTCTGAAGGTGGCTCCAGGGTCCACATCAGACTCACTGCTAGTACCCTGGCCAGGAGCATGAGGATGAAAAGCCAGCAGATGCCCTCCATCATGGCAGAGGGGCAAGGGCAACCTGAAAAACAACCTCCTTTGTGGAAATGTCACAAGGCTTCACCACATGCAGGGACTCTTCATTACTCCCACTCTGTGGTCAGAGCTCTCAGATGACTTGAAGTGAGTCCCTTCTCTATCCAAACCCTGTTAGTCTACCCAGTGCATACCAATTCACGCCCACACTCAACCTAGTTTTTCAGTCACTCCATGACTGATCCCCAAAGACCTCACTCTGTACACCTTACTTCCCTCATAAACCTTACAAGTCCTCCAGAGCCTCCAGAATCCAATGCTCCCCTGCTTTATTTTTCTCCATGGGCTTTTCTTCTGAAAGCTCTGATCCTCTTTCCTCCTTTATCTCTCTAAAAGTATCCCTTCTTTCACGGCCCATCTAAAGTGCCATGAGGCCAACCGTTCAGGGAGTCTGAATTAAAAGGTACTTGTCCTCATCCTTCCTGAAATCTCTTTGGATATAGCTGGCCACAACCTCTCCAAGATGCTGTCTCTGTTCCAGTCCTCCAGGTAAAGAAGGATTCAGTTACGGCCAATGCCAGAATGCGTCATAGCCTTTGTTCCTTGGAGAATCACAGATATTCAGGAGAGTGTGGCCCTGGCAGGCAGTACAACCTCCTCCACCTCTTCTTTCTCAGATGGGGCAAGACTCATATAAGAGATAGAGAGTTACATGGTCCTGGGCTTGGCCCACAACAAGGGCAAATACTATGGTAGCTGCACCCAAAGGACTGGAGGAGGCTGAAGTGAATGGAGTAGCCTCATTCCTATGAATAGAAGGAAGCTAAGTCCAGCAATAGGTCCAGAAACCAAAATAGAACATGGAAGACATCACACGTTCAGTCCAATAAACTACCCTGAGAAGGAGACACTGAGCATGGTAAAGGAGGCCAAGCAGCAGGACCAAATGGATGCTCAACAAAGCAGAACCTCAGGCAGAGGATTAAGAAGGGAGCCTCAGGATCCATACAGAGACTTTCCTCAGATTTCAAATCTGGGCCTAGGATCCCTGGCATGTAGTCACTGTGCTTACTCACATGCCCTGGTCTGGAGCCAAGTCTTGTCTATGAGACAGATGGGTGTGTACGTGTATGTTTGTGTGCGTGCGTGCGTGCGTGCGTGCGCGTGTGTGTGTGTTTGTGTGTATGCACACACATATCATAAGGGAGGAATCTGGCTATGACCACACAATATCATGTTATTTGGTCCTTTGAAAAATTGGCTTAGGTGATGTACCTTTGGGTTTGTCCACACTCCCTCTAGCACCCCTGATCTCGCAACTCTTTTCCAGGTTCAATGCTCATCATCACTGGCCTGGCCTACTTCCTGCTGAGCAAGCGCAAGAAGACTCAAGCAGCCCCTCAGGGGCCGTCCTCCCCAGAGCACTACACTGATCCCTCCAGCGACACTGTGAGCGCTACTGGCTCTGGGAGCACTGAGCACACCTACACCTTCCATGGGGTCATCAAGGAGGGGACGGACTCCTTCTTCACACACATGAAGAGCATCTTGAAAAGTACCAAAAAGGGCACCTGCCCGCCCCCAGACACCTTGATGGAACTAAGCCTGGAGCCCACAGACACCCTGTCCAAGAAGAAGCAGGTGCATTTTAAGGAAAATATGGTCAGGATCATCCCATCACTTGCTGAGGACCTGAGTGATAGAGAGAGTGAGTCAGATGAGACCACCTTAGACACCATCCCCATCATCCCTCCACCTCATGTTCCGCACTTCATGTCCTCACTCACAGCCACAGGCCTCTTCTAAGGCACTTCCTGCCCCAGCAGCACTGACTAGGAGGAGTCTCCGCAGAGCAATGGCCCTTGCAGTTTCCAAATATGTGAGGCTCCAGAGAAAGCTTCAAGTCTCTCTAGAGCAGCTCTAGAATGAATGACCAAAGAGCCCACTGTGGCAGGGCGTCCATGGCGGGGCATCTATGCCACGACATGCCACTAGTCCTGTGAAGTCCCCAAGAGAAGCACAAGTAAGACTCTCGCTGCCTCAGGGCAGTGCAAGCACCTCCCTCTTGGACAATGAGTATAGAAATTCTTCACTTTTCTAAAGAAGACCATGACCCCCCCTCTACACAAGGATGCAAGGCGATTTCTTTAGCCACAGAAGGGCAGATGACTCAACCTTAGTAGATGCCACTGGGCTTCTCTTGATCCTGATACAGAATTCCTCATTCACTAAGATCTTATCATGTATCCTATCTCTGACATGAAGTTTCGTCTTTGAAGGTCCAGAGATATATTGGCCACTTAAGCACCTCAAAGACTGTTGTTTAAGGTGGCTATAGATGTCAGTCGGGGTTACTTGGAATCGGGAGGGAGGACACAAACCCCACTAAAGGGGGAGGAGCAGAGCCAGTAGAGGCAGCAGGAAGAGTTCCAGAGGCATTCAGAGAACAAACAGTCTTTGTTCACAGAGAGGAATGCCAGACAAGTGAGTCAAGTTCTAGAACATGTACGAAGGCTCTCTGCAACCTTGTCAAAGGATGCTTTCAAGATTCCAAGTAGATGACATAAACTAGATCAAACTGAAAAGCCTAAAAGCTTATGGCAATCTTCAGGACCCAGTGCCTGCTGTGTGCCCAGCCCTGGAAACACAGAATGCCTTAAGATCCATACAACTCAGAGAAGGGACGGCAATGTTTAGGGACGTGACAGTGGACAACAGATAGATGGTTTTCAAATTGAGGGGAAGGGAAGAATACAGCAAGCTACCAGGCAAGCTCTGCCTTGTGACTACAGAAAAGAGACCATCACTTCTTAATGAGCAAAGAAGTAAATTATTATCAGTAAGATATTCCAAAATAATGGGACCTGCAACAACGTTTTTACTTCTAAAAATTATACTTTGCCTCATGATATTGTTTCAAGGAAAAGCACCTTCTTCTTCATGGCAATTTCAATTAATGAGCCAGCATAAGAAGATGCTGTTACATGACCAGATGTGTGTGAGCAAACACCAGGATGGCTTGGAGGACGTACATATGCTATGGTTGAGATAAAATGCCATGTTTAATCTTGTAGACTTTTCAGTATATTCTACAAGTTATCTTGAAAATGTGTAGAAATAATGGCTAACCAGAAGCTGTCGGGCTGCTGTCTAAGTGCAGGAGATATTCCAGATAAGCAGAAAATCGAATCAGAAAAGGCAAAGAAATGCTTCCCCATACATCTCTGATTGTGCAAGTAGCAGAAAAGATAGGCCCAGAGTCAGAATCCACAGGCAAGGAGGCTGAGAAATAAACAATGTGCTTTAGCAGAAGGTGGGAGTGTGTCCAAATTCCTAATGAGCCAGGTGTTCTGGGAAAAGCCTGCTGTGTACAGAAGGCGCTCAGGTGAGGAAGAGTCAGGCAGGAAGGAGCCAGGTGTCTTACCATGTGTCATGTGGGGAAACAAGGCTGCTGTGGAGTTACAAATGCTTATCAAATGGTCTCTGACAGATCTGACATCACACTTAGGTTGTGCTTTGGAGATCAAGCTCTACTGGCTCAAAGGATGGAGTTGTTCTAGTCAGTGGGAGCATCTGGGTCCCCAGACACCTGCCACATTTCATTATAAAGCACAGCCTTGTTTCCCTGTGTCTTCGAGGTGAAGTGCATGTTGGAGATTTCAGGTGAAATGATCATGCGTGAGGTCTTGAAGGAAGAGACACAGGAATGTACTAGACTAGTTGCTCAGAGGATGAGAACCTTACCTGGGTTGGCAAAGGAGGGCATGAAACACCCATAATTGTCAAGTCAGTTCCAATTCACGGTGACTCCATGTGTTCAGAGTAGAGCGTCACCACAGGGTTTTCAGAGTTGCAACCTTTGGAAAGCAATGCTGCCAGGTCTGTATTTCAAGAGTCCGCTGGGTGACTTGGGACCACCAAGTCTTCAATGAGTTGTCAAGTGTTTAATTATTTGCCCCCGCCTGCCACCTCAAACATTCTCACCGCTGCCTGAACAAGTCCTAAATTAGGTCTTTAGACAGACCAGGGTTTTCACCTAGCAGAGGGCCCAGCTTGAAGAGTACCTTCCTCAGAAGCAGAGAAGCACCTTCCATCTTTATTTTATTCCCAACGTGAGACCTGGGTAACCGTCAGTTTCCACACTGGAATCCCTGAAGAGCAGACATTCGATGACACTGGTCCTAGCTGCACTCGTTGTGGCCTGCCTCCCACTCACAGTTAAAACCAAAGCAGAAAAATAGCCCTGGGCCAGGGGACTTAGAACTACTCACTGAGTGAACTTTCTGTGAGAATAGCAAGCACTAATTACAGTGAGTAGGAAGAAAAGCACATCTTTCTCAGGGTTAGTCTAATGAGGCCGATAAGACAGGTGACAATAAATGCTTTTCAGGTTATAAATCACGGAGTGTGCATGTTTGTTCCTGTTAGTGTGAGGGCCTCCCTGAGCAGCATCAAAGTGGGAAAGCACTTAGAAAACACTTGTGTTGTGGGAAAGCCCAATTCATATCCGAAAGCTCATATTCAAACTCCAGACTTTACAGCTTGAGCCTGAGGAAAATACAAATCCCACCCGCCCGCTGTCGCACTCTCTACCCTGAATTAGGTAAAGAGCCACTTCTTACCCCTCATGATGAAGACCCCCACTCTAGAGGTCAACCCATGTGTCCTCCTTCTAAATCTTGTTTAATGTTTCTAACATCTTTATTTTTATATAATTCACATACCGTAAAATTTACTCATTAAAATGTACAATTCAATAGTCTGCTCATTCCGTTGTACAGCCATCACCGCAACATAAATTCACAACAGTTTAATGATCTCATATCCATCAGCGGTGACTCTCCAGGACCCTTCCCCTGCCCTAAACAGTCACCCATCTTTCTGTGGTAATAGAATTGCCAGTTCTTGATTCTCCTATAAATGGATTTTGTGATCTTTTGTGACTGCACATGCCACAAGCAAATGTTTGCCAGATTTATCCCGGCTATATAGCAAGTATAAGTACTTAATTTCTCTTTATTACCCAATGATATGCCACTTTACGGATACAACACATTGTTTTTAACCATGTATAGTTGATGAAAAACCCTGGTTGCATAGTGGTTACACATTGGGCTGTGATCCACAAGGCCAGCAGTTCAAAATCACCACCCATTCTGAAGGAGAAAGACAGGACTTTCTGCTCCCTTAAGCAGTTACAGTCTCAGACGCTCAAAGGTGGCACTGCTACCTTGTCCTATCGGGTTGCTATAGGACATAGGCAATGAATCTTGTTTGGTTTTGGGTCTGCACCACTGCCGTGAAGTTTACTGCAACTCATAGCGACCCTATAGAACAGAAGAAACCTGCCCCATAGGTTTCCAAGACTAAGTTTTTACAGACGTAGACTACCTTCTGGACTCATCTTTCTCCCCCTTGGATTCTGGATTGGATCTGCTAATCTTTCGGTTAGTAGTTCAACTCACTAAACCATAGGGCTCCTGTGTACTCCGATTGCCATCAAATCTGTCCAATCCACAGTGATACTATAGAACAGCCTAAAACTGATCCTTTGGATTTCACAGACTATCCAACTTGACAGGAGCAGATTGCTTCATATTTCTTTCCCAGAGAATCACTGGTAGGCTTGAACAGCTGACCTCGAAGTTGATAACACAATGCTTAGTGTGCTTCCAGGGCTCTGTATAGTCGTTCCAAACCCATACAAATTCCACTGCCATCAAGTGGTATGATATAGCATCTCATTACAATTTACATTTCCTTAATGACTAGTGTTATTGTGCTCAAAACATGTTTCCATGTGAGTATTGGCTATATATTGTTTTGGAAAAATGTCTATTGAAATCATTTGCCCATTTTTAACTAGACTATTTGTCTTTTTATGTTGAGCTCTATAAGTTATCTTATATGTATACTCTTATCCGAATATGATTGCAAATATTTTCTTCTAATCTGCGAGTTCCATGTATTTGCTAGATGAGGGCCTTAAAAACAAAAAATGTTTAATTTGGTAAAGTCAATTTTATTTTTATTGTTGTTGTTCATACTTTGGGGTTATACGTCAAAAGTTGTTGACTAACCAAAGTCACAAAGGATTATTTTTACATTTTCTTCTAAGAGTTTTATAATGTTAACTCTTAGTATTTATGTCTATGATAAATTTCAAGTTAATTTTTGTGTGTGGTATGAGGTAGGATCCACCTTCATTCTTTGGTGTGTAAATACCCTGCACCATATGTTGGAAAAAAAATACTATTTTTTCCTATTGAATTATTTTGGCATTTTAATCAAAAATTAATTGACCATACCTATAAAAAATATTTTTCTAGGTTGTCTTGATTAGCATAGCTTTGCACTAAATTTTGAAATCCAGAGTGTGAGTCTTCAAGCTTTGCCTTTGTTTTTTTGGATTATATCAACTATTCTAAATTACTCACATTTCTATATAAACTTTAGGATGATTTTTCAATTTCTATAAAAACCTGTTGTAATTTTTTAATTTGATTGGGATAGCATTGAATCTGTAGATAAATATGAGGAGTATTATCATCTGAGTAATATTAGATCTTCTCATTCAGAAACATGGATATCTCTCATTTAAAAAAAAAACTTTTAAAATTTATTTTACCAATATTTTCTAGTTTCTAGTGTGCAAATCTTGCACTTGTTAAAGTTAGTCCTAATAATTATTATGCTTTTGTAAATAGACTAATTTTGTTAACTTTATTTTCAGATTACTCATTGACAGAATTTAGAAGTGCAATTGACTTTTGTATGCTGATCTTGTACCTTGAAAATTTGCTAAATTAATTGATCACTTATAATAGGTGTTAAGTGGATTCCTGCATCTGTCACCAAATAGAGATAGTTTTACTTCCTCTCCAAAGGTGCTCTCGTGGTTTCCGTTCTTCTCTTTGGACTCATCAGACAGCAGTGACCTTGCCCTCCTGGAATGCACCAATCCCATCTGCTAGGACCCTGCAGAACTATACCTGACTGTGTTGGGAGAAGGTTTCCTGTTTCTTCTCCCTTCCTTACTAGTAAAGCTTGATTTTTTTAAATCTGCAAATAAATGTTTGTGAAAACAATAAACCAAGACAATGAACATATCCCTTAACTGGTGAATGGATGATCACATTGTCATTAAGTAAATGCTTCTTAGCAATAAAATTTCCATGCACCAACATGGATGAATCTAAAATGCATTATGCTAACTGAAACAATTCCAATTCAAAGAGGTAAAAATATACTGTATGATTAAATTTACTTAAAATTTTTGGGAAAAGGAGAAAAACTGTAGGAACAGAAGACGGGCTGTCAGGGCCTGTAACAAGGGCCTGGAGACAAGGTTGGTTACAAGAGACAAGAAACATGCTATTCTTCTTTTTTAAAAATCATTTTATTAGGGGCTCATACAATTCTTATCACAATTCATACATACATCAACTGTGTAAAGCACATTTGTACATTCATTGCCCTCATCATTCTCAAAACATTTGCTCTCCATTTAAGCCCCTGGAATCAGGTCCTCATTTTCCTCCCACCCTCCCTCCCTCCCCCTCCCTCATGAACCCTTGATAATTTATATATTATTATTTTCTCATATCTTGCCCTATCCAATGTCTCACTTCACCCATTCTTTCTAATAGCTGGAGATAATCTGCTTTCTTCACCAAACTTTGTTATAGCATCCTTACTTTCAGTGATCACTTCATGGGGGATAGGAATTGAGCAGGACCATTAAGAACTAATTGTTCTTAGAGTGGAACTAGGACTATATGCAAGTTCAAAATCCATTCATATATCTACAGTTTATGTACAAGTATAAGTATCTGGTTCACGTAAAAGGCATCATTGTTATTTTATTAAAGGACATTACAAATTATCCCCATGGGGTATATGATAGTTATACTGCTATTATTACTAATTTAGCCACTGGTATAGAATTTAAAACACTGTTGAGAGAAACTATACATGCATAGGGCAGGTTTTTTACACCATAGCTCATGGACTGTTGATTTTGTACAGGTTAACAATTTAGGTGACTGAACGTTATTTACATTTGTATTGAGGGTTGGGCAAAAATTCCATTACTGCTCTTTCATAAAGGTAAAAAGAGCCATTTCAGGCTTAGGCTCATGGGAGTTTTTCAGTTTATTTAATCTGTTACTAATGTATTTAAGATAAAATTCAATTCACTTAGTGGGAGTTACAAATCAAATCCTTCTGGTGTGATCTATGAGAGATGTTGTGTACTTGAAAAGGACAGAGTCTAAAGTCTGATCTGTAAATAAAGTTTTATTGGAGCCAAA